ATATGAGTGGTTTTCCTACGTGTATAAGTACACCCACGTATAAGTGCACCCATTTCATGCAGTGCCTACAGAGGCCAGAAGAGGGTGTCTTAGCTCCTGGAACTGAAGCTAAGGACCATTGTTAGCCACCATGTGGATGCTGGGAACCAAACCTGGGTCCTCTGCAAGAAGAGTCAGTGCTCTTAACCACTGAGCTATCTTTCCAACCCCTGCCTTATCTTTTCTTAGTCCCTCCTGTCCCTGAGCCATTTCTCAGTATAAATATGCTGCCTCCATCCTCACATAGCTGTGTGTTGGGCCTGGGCTCAGGGCCCTGATGTCACCCAACCACCCCTACCCACATTCATTCATGTACCCCATTACCTGTCTGGATCCCAAGCCCTGCATATCCATATCCTGGCTTCATGGTAACCCGCCAAGGCTGGAGGGCCAGCCAGGGGGAGCCTTGCAGGGCCCCAGCCTGACCTGCAGGATAAGAGCTGGTATGGGTACCCCATCCCTTAGAACTGAGTACTCAGGAGGCCCCAGGCCCCCTGGACTTCAGAACCCCCTTGCCCCTCCCTTGCTGGGTCAGTTCTTACCATCTTTCTCAAGTGCTGGAGCTGCCACTTTAGGGTATACATGGGCCTCATCCTCGTGTCCTGTAAAGGATCAGTAATTACCTCCCAGCTCTCTAGCCATGTCTTATCCTCTTCTTTACTGTATTTGGTCCCCAGGGTCCAACTCACCATTCCTAAAACCATTAGCCGCTGGAAACCCTGAAGGATGAAAGAGAAGATCAGAGGTAGGAGTGGTGCTAGTCTAACCTCCCCCCACAATGCACCTGGCTGTAGGTAGGTCTCTGAGAAAAGCTCAGCTTCCAGAGCTCCATTCCCATAATGGAAACCTGCATGAGAGAGATTGGAGTGGGGAGGGGAGGGAAGGGACAGGGTAGCCAGGAAACCAGCTCTCCATGACAAGGAGATACTAAGGCTGACTCAGATATTAGAGGAAGAGCCTAGCCTGGTGGTACAGGCCTATAATCTCAGCTACTTGAGAGGTTGAGGCAGGAGAAGCAAAAGTTCAAGGCCTGCCTGAACTATGTAGCAAGATTCTGTCTCAAAACAGAAAAGAAGAGGCTGGTAAGATGGCTCAGTGGGCAAAAGTACCTGCTGCCCAACAGTGCCTGATGAACTAAGTTTGATCTCTGGAACCCATTTAAATTGGAAAGAGATAAAGTTGTCTCTTAACCTCCATATGCACCCCATGGCACATGCATAACCCACACACAATAATCATAAATTTAAAAAAATAGAAAGTTGGAGTCGGGCATGGTGGGGCACACCTTTAATCTCAGCACTCAGGAGGCAGAGGCAGGCAGATCTCTAGAAGTTCAAGGCCAATCTGGTCTACATAGTGAGTTCCAGGCCATCTGGGGCTACAGGGAGACTCTGTGGGGGGAGAGAGAGAGAGAGAGAAAGAGAGAGAGAGAGAGCGTGCTGAAGAGATGGCTTAGGGGTTAAGAGCACTGACTGCTCTTGAACTCAGGTTTGAATCCTAGCACGTACATGGCGGCTAATAACCATCCATAACTCCAGTTCCTCTTCTGACCTCAGTGGGCACTGCATGGCACAGTGCACTTACCATGCAGGCATAACACTCATACACATAAAATAAAAAATTAAATTAAAAAAAGAAAGTAGGTTGGGGTATTTGGCTGCTTCATCCACCTGGATCACTCTTTCACTTGCTTCATCTAACTAACCTAGTTTCCTGCCACCACCTCCAGGCAGCCTTCCCTGACTTCCCTTCTGAACAACTTTTAAAGATGCTTTCTTCCCATTTGCTTTTCAACTGTCACTCTACTCTTACCTGAGGCAGGATCATACCTGGCAATGGCCACCTTTGTGGATGAGTGGGTTAGCCAAGTGGGTGTTACATGAATAAAGAGTGGGGCAGAGACAGATATAGAGAGGGGCTGGTCATGAGATCAATTCCAGCTTGAGTTCAGATGGGCATCTAGGAGGGCTCACCAACTTTCTGCAGCTTGAAGCCACCACGGAAGCCTGAGGGAGAGGAGACTGGGTCAGGGATGACCCTGGCCATTGCTTCCCCTCTTCCTGGAGGTAGAAGACAAGGAAAGGGATAGGAAAGGAAATAGAAGGAAGGGGAGAGGGGAGCACAGCTTTCTCACCCAATTCTGTTTCTGCTCCATAGCTATTGAAGGGCTTGTAACTTGTGAGGAGAGTAGAGGTCAGTGATGAAGGGTGGAAACTTTGCTGACCTCCTTAGGGGCCATAAGTGGACCTAGGGGAGTCTGAGGAAGAAGAGGGAACAAGGGTGATGGAGAGGCTGATGCCTCTGAGACAGGGACAGAGCAGTTGAGGGTTTGTCCCTCTGAGATACAGGTTTGGGGACAGACAGACTAGCACCTGCTTTCTGAGGCTTCAGTCCCCACTGGATGACCAGGGTTGGTGCTAGGAAGTCAGGGGGGCAGAAGTGAGCCCAGCACAGAGCCTCTCTGAGCTTCAGCATCCAGACAGCAGGACTTGGGGCCAGTCCTAGTTCCTCCCAGAACCACATGCCTCCTGATACCCCCCAGCCCTGGCTCCACACTGACCTGGGAATTTGCCGTTCTGCCCTGGAGGTGGGGGCTGGGATTTTAGGCTCCAACCTCCTTCTTTATATGAAAGGACCCCTGGAGTGGGAGGCCCAGGGAGGAGTAGTGGAACAACTCCCCCATTGCAGGGACCTAGATGACAGAGGCAGATAAAGGAGTGCAAAGCTGGCTCCAGGCTGCTGCCTACCCTGTGCCACCCAGGGCAATTCATTGTTTGCAGTGGCTTCCAGGGCATGCTCAGCATTCTCAGGGGATATCTACTAGGTAAGAGACAGCTCAGATTATGTGGGCCACCCTGCTCACAGGGGGATAAGGTGGATCAGACAGGCAAGGGGCTCCTGCTACCAGCCCACCCAACCCTTCCTTCTCTCAGCCATACCCTCTGCCCCCCTGGTTTGAGTGCTCACCTGACTGGGCTGCCATCCCATTTCCATTGCTGTATCCTTGAGAAGAAAAGCAGGAAGTGAGGGGCAGGATAGGGTAGGGTTGGGAGGAGATGCAGGGGAGGCACAGGACAGAGGCAGAGGGGTCTCTTACCTGTTTTTGGAGGTTTCACACCCCCTCCCAGGCCTGGGGGAGACAGAGAGGTCTGGTCACATATACACACATCCTTCCCTAAGAGTGGACCTTCTGTCCTTTCTCTTCCTCCAACACTCACCTGGTGGGAGCCCCAGCCCATTCCCTGGCATGTACCCTGGGAAGAGAGCAGGCTGTAAGAACAGGGGCTGGCATGGGTGGGGGGACACCAGGGGATGCAAGAAGAGGAACAGAGAGGGCCTCACCTGGCTTTGGCAGTTTCCCAGCCCCTCCAAGGCCTGAAGAGAGATGAATAGAGCATGAGGGAGAGGCAGACCCCACCTTGCCTCTACCCCTTCCCAGGACTAGCTCTGCCTGTAGCACCCTATTACCCCTTTCCTGCTCCTCACCTGGCTGGGGTCCTTGTCCCAGGAAGGCTCCAGCTCTCAGCCCATTTCTGTACCCTACAGAGACAAAGTAAGGTTACCTCTCCTCCACAGGCCTTTCCTCTGATCCCTGGTATCTGGCCCTCAGTGCTCATCCCTCCCTTTCCTAGTCCATGGTTGATGGGAACTACAAGATCTGGGAGGCAAAGAGAGAGATGAAGGGCATAAGGACTCTGGCGGTGGCCAGGGGGAAACCTTAGACAGGGCATAGAGTGAGGATCCATCTGTTACCCTTCCAACCCACTGCGCCCAAACCCCTCATACCTGCTCATAGCTATTCTGAGCTGGAAGCAGGAGAAAGAAGTGAGCAGGGGGTGGAGCTAAGGTTAGGGAGGAAGGGCCCTTGGTTTCTCCTTCAGAGTTAGGCCAGAACCTAGAGACTCCCTTAGACCTGCCCCTGGCAGGCTGATAGGGGACAATGACAGGACAGCTGGACACAAACTCCCTCACCTGGCTGGACTCCAAGCCCATTCCCATTCCCAAATCCTGGGAATACAGAGGATGGAGGGCATTAATGAAGGGAGGGGAGCTCAAGGGTAGGGGAATAGGCAGCAAGAAAAAGGCTGGGACAGGCTCACCTGGCTTTTGGGGTTTCATGCCCCCTCCATAGGCTGGAGGAAATACAGGGAACAGGTGAAGGATCCTGGGTTCCCTGCTCTGGGCCTCCCCAGAAGCCTGGCCGTGCCCCCACCCCACACCTGGTCCATAGCCATTTTGAGCAGCAGTGCCTGTGGGAGGATAGGGGAGATATTACAGGTGGGCTGTCTGGGAAGAGTTCTGGATGAGGAGTCCCTTGATGTTCCCCATCTCCTTTCCCCATGACCCCCCCCCCATGACCCTACAGACTTCCTTCTATTCAGGAACTAAGGGCTGGCCTCAGAGTAGGCATAGATAACCCTACCCACCCACCCCAATGTGCTTAGAGACCAAGGGTGGTAAGGACAGAAATGGAGAGAAAGGACACAGACTGTTCTCACCTGGCTTCTGAGACTTCCCTCCTACTTCCAAACCTGGCAAGAGACAGAGAGGGGCTGACTGGAATTGAATAAGGGAACCCCCTCAGCCCTCTGTCCTCTTGGTACCTGTCCCCAGCCCTTCTCCCCACCTGCCCCATCTCCCAACAGTACAAGACCCATGCCCAAAAGTCCACACCTGGCTGGGCACCCAGTCCGTTTCCATTGCCATATCCTAGGGGGAGAAAGGGGTGAGAGGCTCAGGAGGAGGCAGCTTCTGAGATAGGCAAAGAATAGGAGGCTCTTCCCTCCCCTGGCTCCTGGTCCCTAGCTCAGAGGGTTCATACCCCTCCCAACCCTGTGGAGGGAGGCACAAAAGCTAAGCCCCAGGCTAGAGCACCCATCTGCCTACCACTTTAGTGGGCTCTACCTTCATGGTCCCTGTTCTGGCCCTCTAAGAGGCCTGGCTCTGCCCTAAGGTCCTCACCTGGCTGGGCTTCTGTTCCAGGGAAGGTCGCAGCTCTTAGCTCATTCCCATATTCTGAAGAGAAAGGGAGAGAGGCATGGTGGGGGTGCTTATGGCTTCCAGGGTGCATGGTTGGGGGCTGGAACCAAAGTAGGCAAGATTCACCTGGCTTCTGGGGCTTCATACCCTCTCCAAAACTTTCAAGAGACATGCACAACAGATAAACCCCAATAATACCATCTCAAAGTCTCCCAGTCCCTCCTGGTCCCTGCCCTTACCTGCTCCAAATCCATTCTGGGCTGCTGGGCCTGTGTGGAGAGGAAGGTGGGATTTGGAGTTCAGCTGAGGTAGAAATGAAGGTCTCTAAAACTAGAGGCCTAGAGTCTTGGAGGCCTCCTCCCAGCAACCCCTCAATTTTGTACCCACTCTGCCCCTCTGAGGCCTAGGAGGGGAGCGCTGACGGACACCCCAGATATGGGTCCCCAAGTTGCCCATCTCACCTGGCTGGGCTCCTAATCCATTCCCATTCCCGAACCCTGGGAGGACAAGTGGAAAGGGGGAGAAGAGGTAGGAAGTAGTTCTGAAATTTGGGGGAGACAGAATCACTGGTAGGAGTGAGGCTCACCTGCCTTCTGGGGCTTCACACCCCCTCCAAAGCCTGAGGGGGAAATAGGGATCAGATGAGGATCCAGGACTATCTCTCTCATAATCCTAACATCCTAGTTCCATCCTCTCCCAGTTCCCTGATACCTGCTCTATAGCCATTCTGAGCTGGGGTACCTGTGTTGAAGGGAGGCATGAACAAGGAGCAAAAAGCCCACAGTTAGTTCCACCTTCAGAGCCAGGTCAGAAATCCCTCAACCCTCCTCCTCATTCACTGGCCCTGCCCTCCAAAGCCTGGGATGGGAGGGTAGTCTGAAGGCATGCAGACCCCATCCTAGAGCCCACCACCATCACCTGGCTGTGCTTCCAGCCCCAGTCCATTCCTGTTCCTGAATTCTGGGAGCACAGAAGGGTGTGAATAAGAGGAGAGGAATTCAGGGCTGAAGGGACAGGCAGAGAAACAGGCCAAGGCAAGGCTCACCTGGCTTCTGGGGCCTCACACCTCCGTAGCCTGGAGGATATACAAGGAGCCAAATGAGGGATTTGGGGTTCCTATTTGGAGGCCTCTCTAGGAGCCCCACCCTGCCCTCACCCAGTCTGTAGCCATTCTGAGGTGCAGGGCCTAGTGAAGAGAAAGAAATAAGCTCTGAAGATCCAGACCTGTTTCTAGAACTGCCCAAGGTCTGGAGCTCTACCTCCAGCTACCCACCAGACAGCTAAAAATGAGCCTTTGGGAGGGGGGTGATTCTATGTGGCCATGAGCTCTTTCCTAACACCATTCTTGTTTCCATTCCCATCCTGAAATATAGTGGCCTATGAGTGTCCAAACCCACAGTACTTTTCTTTTTTAAAATATTTTATTATTTTTTTATTTTGTGTGTATGAGTATATTGCCCGCATGTATGTAAGTGCACTGGTATTGTGCAATGTCCACAAGCTCAGAAGAGGGTGTCAGATTCCCCTGAAACTGGAGTTATGGTTGGTTGTTAGCTGCCATGTGGGTGCTGGGAATTAAACCCAGGTCCTCTGCAAGAGCAGCCAGTGCTCTTAATTGCTGAGCCATCTCTCCAGTCTCTCCCACAGTGCTTCTGACACTATAGACTGTTACCCTGCCTCTGTTATCCCCAGGTTCAGGGCTCTGGCAGTCCCTCACTCTCTGCCCTATCCCTCTGATCTCCTCTGCTGCTTCTCAGTCTCCAAGTTTTTTTCTTCTGCTCATGCTCTAGAAGGAGACTGTTCCTGTATTCTGTAATGGGCCTTTAACCACCTTCTTGGGTCCAGCCTCTCTATAGCTGCCTGGATCCTTCCTTGGTTGTCACAACCAGCCAGAAAAGTGGCTTCCTCCTTCATCAACACTAGCTCCTACCTTCTTGGCCCCTGAGCCATTTCTAGAGCCTGCATCCTCTTTCTGTGGACCTCTCTTCACTGTCCCTCAAGCCTCCACTAATTTTGAATGGATCATGGCCAACTCATTGGCTTCTACCTCCTTTGTTTTAGAATGCTCAAGATGACTCTCATTATCAGCCTTGGTATCATGCTGTTGTCCTATCTACCTGTGCTGTGTGCCCTGGGCTCTGGGAGGAACAGGCTTCAGCACTTGGCTACTCTAGAAGAGTTGTGATCCATGGACTAGTTTGTTGAATGGGTGTTTGCTGTGTGAGGCTAAGTTGGAAGGTCAGTAGGTGGGTTTCACTTGGCTTCTGGGGTCTTAGTTCTCCCCCAAGGCCTGGGGAACAAGAGAGACTGGTCAGCCCCCACATTAGCACTCCCACTCACAAAACCACAGTGCCTCAACTGGCTGGGCTCAGGCTCCTGGGAAGGCCCCAGCTCCCAGCCCATTTCCATTCCCAAGTCCTGGGAGACAGTCAGGAAATAAAGGGAGATCAGGAACCTGATGGAGTGTAGGTATATGAAAACAAGAACAGGTACAACAAGGGCCTCACCTGGTTTCTTGGGTTTTCTGACTCCTCTAAAGCCTGAAAGAGACATTAGCAATTCAAGCACCCTCATCTCCAGGCTGGCTTTCCTCCAGGAACTCAGTCCTGGGCTCCCCATCTCAGTCCCTGTCCCCTCTTTACCTGCTCCAAAGCCATTCTGAACTACAGGACCAGATGGGGGAAAGAGGTAGTAGACACAGGAAATGTGAACATACTGAGGTACACATAAGGCCAGGGATGATCATTTCCTGACTCTATCTGCCTTGCTCATGGACCTATTTTCTCACTCTTTGAATTCCCTCCTAATTTGACCTGTAAGTTCTTTTTGTTTGTTGTCTATTTGTTTGGGTTTTTGCTTGCTTTTGTTATTTGTTTTTAGACAAGGTCTCTGTCTGGTAGCCCAGGTTTGCCTCTAACTCACTATTAGCTGAGAATGACTTTGAACTCTTCACCCTCCTCTCTTCACCTCTCAAGTGCTAGGATTTTAGACTTGTGCCACCATGCCCTTTTTTAATTTTTAAATTTTTTTATTTTTATTTTTTTGGTCTTTTTTGAGACAGGGTCTCTTCTGTAGCCCCAGCTGGCCTGGAACTCTCTTTGTAGACCAGGTTGGCCTTGAACTCAAAAAAATCTGCCTTCCTTTGCCTCTGCCTCCCAAGTGCTGGGATTAAAGGAGTGTACCACAACACCCAGCATACCCTGTAGTTTTGAAACTGGGTTTTGCTATGTAGCTCCTTCTAGCCTGGAACTCACTATCTTTGCCAAGCTGGCCTGGAACTTTTGATCCTCCTGCCTTGGTCTCTTGAGTGCTAGAATTACAGATGTGAGACACTATGCCTTACAGGAGTTTTGGTTTTTGGTCTTGACTGTAGGTGAGCTCACCAGCCTGGGTATAGTTCCTCAATCAGGCCTGGCTGAGGAATGCACTAGGAGTTTCCTTGAAAGAATGATCTTCTAAAAGCTTGGGCTTCTGGGCCCCAGGGTGTGGACTCAGACTTGACCTCTCTCTCAAGGCACTTACCCGGCTTCTGAGTCTTCATGCTAGCTTCTAAACCTGGGAAAAGACCCAGGAAGACTGAGCCATGTGCAGACCCCACCCAACCCCCCATTATCCTCCCAGAAATCAACTTTCTTGGTTCCTTATTTCAGCACTGGAGATTAACTTTAAGGCCTCATGTATGCTGGGAGGCGTGCTTTACCACTAAACTATATCACCAGACATTTTTTTTTAACCTTTTTAAATTTTAGTTACTTATTTTGGTTTTTGAAACAGTCTCACTATAGAGGAGTAGCTGGCTTGGACCTCACTATGAGGCTGGCCTTGAACTCATAGAGATCCACCTGCCTCGGCCTTCTGTGTGCTGAGATTAAAGGTGTGTGCTATCATGTTTGACTATTTTAATTTTTAATCTATTTTTAAAATTATTTGACATTTTTATACATGTATATAAAATTAATTGTAGTTATTTTCACCCCATTGCCTTCTCTTATCGTACTCCCATTGTTTATTTATTTATTTTTTATTTATTTATTTATTTTTGGTCTTTTTGAGACAGGGTCTCTCTGTAGCCCCAGCTGTCCTAGAACTTACTATGTAGACCAGGCTGGCCTTGAAGTCACAAAGATCTGCCTGCCGCTGCCTCCCAAGTGCTGGGATTAAAGGCGTGCACCACCATGCCCAGCCCATTATTTATTTGATTTTAATATTAATTTTTTTTATATATGTGAATATTTTGCCTGCAAGTATGTTAAGTACACTGTGTATGCAGTGCCCTTGGAGGTCAGAAGAGGGCATCAGATCCCATGTAACTAGAGTTCATGATGACTGTGACTCACCATGTAGGTGCTGGGAATTGAACCTGGGTCCTCTATAAGAGCAGCAAGTGGGGGCTGGAAAGATGGCTCATTAGTAAAGAATACTGACTGTTCTTGCAAAAGACCCAGGTTCAAATCCCAGCATCCACATGGCAGCTAACATCTGTCTGTAATTCCAGTTCCAGAGAATCTGACAGTCTCTTCTGTTCTCCACAGGCATTGCATGACACTGGCGCACTTACCTACATGCAGGCAATACATACATACACATAAAATAAAAATAATAAATAAAATATTTTTTAATTAAAAAAAAAAAGGAGCAGCAAGTGCTCTTAACCACTGATCCCTCTCTCTAGCCCCTATTATTTTTTGAAACAAGATCTTATATAGGCCAGGGTAGCCTTGAGCTCCCTAGGTAACCTAGGATAACCTTGAACTCCTAGACCTCCTGCCTCCACCTCCCAAATGCTGAGGTTATAGGTACATACCACCAAGCCTAGGATTAAACCAGGGCTTCATGTGTGCTAGGCAAGCATTCTAGCAGGTGAGCTATATCACCAGCCCCTGTTTTTCATTTTTGAGACAAGGTCTCCCTAAGTTTTCTAGTCTGTCCTTGAACTCTCTCAGTAGCCTAGACACATCATGAATTTCTGATTGTCCTCTTTCAGCCTCCCAAGTAGCCGGGAGAACGGACTTGCGCTACTAGACCTGGCCCCAGAAATGAACTTTCTGCCCTCCCAGTCCCTGACCTTTCCTAGATCCTCTCTCTTCCTCACCCCTAGATCCCCAGTTTGACCTAGGAGCCCTCATCTGGCTGGGCTCCAACTCTTGGGAAGGCCCCAGCTCCTCTTCCATTCCCATTGACAAACCCTGGGAGACAGAGCAGGAAGGAATAAGGGAAGGCCAGGCCAGGTAGGGGTGGGAATGGGCTGGATAAGAACATTAGGACAGGGCAGGTCTCACCTGGCTTTGGAGATTTTGTACCCCCTCCAATGCCTGAGAAAGAAATAGAGACCAGGTGAGGAACATTGAGCTCCCTAGAACCCCCAATCGTAGCACATGCCCCCCAACTTCTCCCCTCCCTTTCTCTACCTGGTCCGTGGCCATTTTGAGGTGCTGGGGCTGTGTGGGGAGAGAGAGGCTGCAGCCAAGCCAATGTGACGCTAGGCTAACGTGGTCTAGACCACTCCCATGGTCTACCCACCAAAGGCCTACAACAGTTCTCTCAGGGAACATGCTCAGAAAGCAGCCTAGACAGCCTTTCTGGAGACCGCTTCTCAAGCCACAGGTCTAGCAGGCATTGAAAGGACTCATCTTTGGGAGTTAACATAGTGACAAAGATGGGGACAGGGAGATATGGTACATAGAGATGACAGAACTGAGCTGGCAATATTGCTTCATAGGGGGCAGAAAAGATGGCAGAGCAGG